CATTGATGTCATCATCGGCACAACGCCTGTCGCATTGACGTCATCACCAGCACGACACGCGTCAGATTGATCTCATCGGCACGACGCGTGTTGCATTAGCATTGTTACTGGCACGATGCGTGTTGCACTGACATTATCAGCGCAACACGCGTCATATTGACCTCACCACTGGCGTGACATGCAGCGTCACCAGCACGACGCGCCTCACAGATTTATCGTAACCGGTTCGCAGAACTCAACAAAAAGTTAGGGATTGGTTCTGCCGAACCGGTGCGAATCGGCTGAATCCCACCATTGGATGAGACTGTTAACCAGAAACCAACTTAAACCTCTAAAGCCAAATAACTGAGCGGGGGGGGGGGGGGGGGGGGGGGGGGGGGGGGGGGGGGGGAAGGCAAGCCAGGATGGATGGAGAGCTTCCTTCACCTGCTCTGTGGGAAAAAAACTCATTTTTCAGAGCTACTGAATATGGATCTCCATGAACGAAGCAAAGTGAGCCCAAACAGGGCTTTCTTTGAAGTATAGGTTTAAAAAAAAAATTAATGCTATGGCAGGGGATGTTAAAAAAGAAAAAAAAAGAAAGACAAATGGCTTGTTGTCAGGCAGGCTCAGATCAAAGGTTGGGATCCACCAGATGAAATGAAATAGAAATTGTGCATTACAACGGCAGAGTCCAAGGACACAAGAACGCTGGGGAGTTATTTTTTTTTTCCTCTCTGGGAGGAAAAAAAAAATGAAATCGGGGCGCCCCACCTGTTTGGGGAATCAGAAGGACGGAGACTCAACGCAAAGCCCTTTTTTGCTCAGCGTAAAGGATCCGAGGATTTAAGGACTAGTAAAAAAAGAAAAAACCAACAACAAAAAAAACAACCCTCCAGCTTTTCCTACATTAAAAATTAGAAGTTCTTAACCGGAGAGAATAGCTTCTTATTTCGAGAGAGACATAATTATAATGGGCTCTCATCCTTTCAAAGCCAGTTAAGGAGTGTAATCTCTTTTCTCGGCAACATTTAAACGCCCTGTTTATTCCTCGTGCTGGGAAGCCTATTACCAGAATGACTTCCTTAATAATAATAATATGTGGGTCCACTTGCACAAAAGCAGATATCCGTTGCCTTTCAGAGCACTCTTTAACAAAAGCTGTGTTTCTGGGAGCTGTAGGGACAAGGAAAAAGGATCCTGGCTTTTTTCTAGCCAATGCCCCAAATGCACGCACAAAAGACACCCAGGGACTGTGCAGAAAACTGTGTCCTATAAATTCTAGTTAGCAGCTGAAGAAATAGCCACGAATCTCTCTGGGCAGGCCTAGAACTCAGCACCTCCATTTTCAGGAATGGGGATTTTCCACAGGTAGCCCTTGACTTAACCACCGTTCATTTAACGATCCTTCGGCGCTGAAAAAAGCGACTTATGACCGTTTTCACACACACCGTGGTCATGTGATCGAAATGACAGGCACTTGGAAACTGGCATGTACTTATGACGGTTGCAAGGTCGTGTGATCGCCATTTGTAAGCTTCCCGGCTGGCGTCCGACAGGCAAACTCAACGGGGGAAGTTGGATTCCTTAATGACTCTATGGTCAACTGCATGATTTGTTTTAACAACGGTGGCAAAAAAAACCTGCAACTGCAAGAAAAAAAATCCTAGCACGGCTTCGTCCCGATCTTTCCCAGAATGCCCTATGTACACGGTCTGTCTGCGGCACAGAGGGCCCGCAGTTTTCCCAGGCTGTCAACCTTCATCCTTCTCAGCTGAGCTGTCCGTGGACACGGCCCTGAGCTGAGATCTCATCCATCAAACAAACATGGTTAACTTCCAAGGCTGTTTCCAGACGAGTCCTTCTCTGTGCTTAAACACCCCTCTTCCCATGAATGATTCTGACTTTCCCCCCCTCTCAGGAAGGGACCTACATGCCCAGGGCTGGAGGCCATGAGGTCTGACCCACAGGCCCGCAAGGGGAGAGCAGAAGAGGTGGGGGGAAGGAGCTTATAATTGCCTGGAGACCCCAAAAGTATACATTAGAGACCTGACGGGGTCTAATAAAGGAAAATATTTGCAGCTCAGGGCTGACACGAGGGGTCCTTGGCACTCTCTGAGCTGGCTTGTTTTCTTGCAGACGTTTCGTTACCAAACTAGGTAGCGTAATCAGCGCATCACGTTACCTAGTTTGGGTAATGAAAGGTCTGCAAGGAAACAAGCCAGCTCAGAGAGCACCAAGGACCCCTTAGATCATGGTCTGTTCAGGCTTGCTAGCTACAATATCACCAAGGCCTCCAGTGCTGCGTCCTTCAAAGAGTACAGATCCTCTACTCGTAATGGAGGAAGACATGTAAGGGCACTAAATGTGAGCGTGTAGGCCTGTAGTAACCTCTATAATCCCAGATGTGACATTCCCAGCAGTGGGTGCGGGACAAGATTCCTTTAAGTCGAGCCTGGAGACTGACATCCTTGGTGCATTTCATGCTCAGATCCCTGGAATCTTGCAAGGGGAAAGACCAAGAACGGGAGCTACTGAAACTCGCCCGGAGAGCAAAAAAACAGAACAAAACATAAAAAAAAAAACCCCACCGCCTCTTTTTCTTCAGCGTCCTGCTATCTGCGCTGCAGGTTTGTTTAAGTTTCGTGTTTTTGAAGCGGCACGTTCAGTGTTTCTGTACACAGAAGGAACGCGATGTGCTTTCCTTGCGCGCCCAGCCAGCTAAAACAAACTTAGCCATGTTGCTAAGAAACTACAAAGGATTCTGGGATTGGCCCCCTTTGTGGATGGAGTAAATTGCTGGGGGGGGAGGGGGGAGGAGAGAGAAAACAAATCCTGCTCTTCCGCATTTTTCATCTGAGATGGAGAAATCCATGGCTGAAGGCCGAAAAAGCCCAAGCAATCTCAGTTAAATAGAAAGATAGATAGATGGATGGATGGATGGATGGGAGGGAGGGAGGGAGGGAGGGAGGGGGGAGGGAAGGAAGGAAGGAAGGAAGAAAGAAAGAGAGAGAGAAAGAAAGAAAGAAAGAAAGAAAGAAAGAAAGAAAGAAAGAAAGAGAAAAAGGAAGGAAGGAAGAGAGAAAAAGGGAGGAAGGAATGGAAGGGAAGGAAGGAGGGAAGGAAGGAAGGAAGAAAGAAAAAGGAAGGAAGGGAGGAAGGAAGGGAGGAGGGAAGGAAAGAAAGGAAGGAAGGAAGGAAGGAAGGAAGGAAGAAAGAAAGAAAGAAAGAAAGAAAGAAAGAAAGAAAGAAAGAAAGAAAGAAAGAAAGAAAGAAAGAAAGAAAGAAAGAAAGAAAGAAAGAAAGAAAGAAAGAAAGAAAGAAAGAAAGAAATGCAGGCTTGGAAGCCAGATGCAATGTGTTGCTCGAACAATCAAACTCTGCAAACGTGGATTAATCTTGCGAGGAGAGGATCCACTACTCTCAGCCGAAAAGGGGAAAAAAGTGAGGCCTGCTTTTTTTCTCTCTGCACGTGCCCAAATGCACGGGCGACAAAAAAGGCAGCCGAGTTCAAACTCAAGAGGGCTTCGTTCTTTGGATGGGGCAAGCAAAGACGGAAGGAAGCGGCGTTTTGCCTCTGGATTGCCAATGGAAGCCGAGCCCTTTCGGAACAGGGAATTTCACTCCTCCAACTAAGGATTTGATTTCAAGGACGCTAAAAATATTCCGCAGGGCCAGAAAGTAGCCCCCCCCTCAAAAAAAAAAAAGTTGCAAGGGAAGATTGAGTCCCGACAACTTGAAGGCAAACAAGCCAAGAGCAACGGATGGAAACTAACCAAGGAGAGAAGCAACCTAGAACTAAGGAGGAATTTCCCAACGATGAGAACAATTAACCAGCGGAACAACCTGCCTCCAGAAGTTGTGAATGCTCCAACGCTGGAGGTTTTTAAGAAGAGACTGGACAGCCACTTGTCTGAAACGGCGTAGGGCAGGGGTAGGCAACCTCGGCTCTTTTATGACTCGTGGACTTCAACTCCCAGAATTCCTGAGTCAGCACTGCTGGTTCAGGGATTCTGGGTATCGAAGTCCACAAGACGTAAAAGAGCCTACCCCCGGGTATAGGATCTCCCACCCGAGCAAGGGGTTGGACTAGAAGACCTCCGAGGCCCCTGCCAACTCTTATTATTCTATGGTCTGTCCCTGAGGTGCCCCTGCGTAATTCCTGCTCTGCTCCATCCGCCACCCCACCTTTTACATCTTCTCTGCTGCTGCTGTGGCAAAATTAAAAAAAAAAAAACCTTCCCTGCGGATCCCTTGGTAGATCCACCCTGTGGAAGCCGAGAAACCTG